AGGTAAAGGCAGAAATGGGATTCCTAAGGACTGATGCTAATGGCAAGAGCCAAGAAAGCTTCCAGGTTCTGAGAAATGAGAATCCCAGGCAGGAGCATGGACAGAAACTCAGGCTCCGTGGGTCAAGCTGTGTGTTTTCCCATCGCTAGCCGAATCGGAAGCAGACTACGTGTGGTATTGTATGAGGCCCTCCACAACCTGACTTCACTCAAATGTCATGCCTTGTACAAGTTTTCAGATGAAGAAACCGAGACTTAAAAGTGGTTAAAAAATGGCCCGAAGTCACAACATCACGGAGGCAGTCGATGGGGACCTGGGCCTTCCCTGGGTAGAGGAAGCTTGGTCCGGGAGCAGGGCCTGGGAAGGGCAGTGACGGTGAGCGTAGCCGGTCTGTCCAGCTGGCAGCAGACATGGCACGTGCGTTGTCACTTAACCTTTATGGTGTCCTCATCTTATTTTATTTTCCAGATGAGGGATCCAAAACATAGGCTTAAGCAGCTCGTGTAAAGTCACACAGGAAGGGGACCGTGACCCAGTCAATGGACTGAAGTGCAAGCCAGAGCAAGACCAGCACCAAGCCTGCCCGAGGCCACGGCCGTGCGGAAGGAAGAACGTGACCCAGCTATGCGTTCAGGTCTCTTTCACCCGAGGTTGGAGTTAGCAAGGGCCTCCAGGGCAGAGAGCAACTCCCAGGACTCGACTTCCCGCACTAGTGCGAGGCGTGGCCTTCACCTGATCTAACCCAGCGATGCATTTATTTTCATAACAGTGAGTCATGGAGGCAGCCCTGACATGGAGTCGCGCGCTGCCCACCCAGCTCCCTGCTCAAAGGCAGCTAAGCCCGTCGGAGCAAGTGACAGCTGCTTTTAACCTGAGCATACCCGACGTTTCCTTTGAGTTCTCTAAACTTGGATTTAACTTATTACTCACACCGAGCCAAGAGAATCAGGCAGGTTATTTCATGCCCTTATAAAAATAGTTGTAAAAAGCTGACTTATATTTGTTGTATGTACAGTTGAGCGACTGATAAAGATGTAACATAACAGAGCACCATAGGATTAGAAACTATGCATTCAGTAACAATCTGTCAACATACGTTTGTTGGCTGCCCACTCTGGGCCCTGTCTTGTCTGAGGCCTGAGGCTGGGAGGTCATTGGAGAGGTCATTTAGACCAGTGCTTCTGTAACTGTCAGTACCAGAAGACCATTTTTTAAAGTTACAGTCAATGGTTGGCCAATATGTTTTAAATATACAATAAAACTGGATACCAGAAAAATGGCCACACCATAGTCTGACGTCTACATACAAAAGCTTATAAACTCTCAATTTTGTTTTCTCATTGCAGCCACAGCTCATGGCCTGGCACTGGTCCAGGGACCACACTTCGAGCAGCACTGCCTTAAACTAGGTATGACGGTTCAGAAACCACCCAACAACTCAAAAGCTAGCTTTTGCTGCTTTTTCTTTCAATCTTTAATTTTCTTTTTTACTTATCATGTTAATGGAAATTTCAACATTTTATGAAATTATCAAAGAAAGTCTTTGAGTCAAGGTAAACCACATTTTTTTTTCCCAACTGAGAGATAAAGGAGAAGTGCTTTTTTCAAAGCTTAACCTACAAAAGATGCACAAAGAGTGAAAGAAAGAAATATAAACTATAAACCAAAAGTGAGGGGGAAATGAGCCAAGGCTACGCCTGAAAGAGAGGCTCCCAGATGGCCAAAACCCCATGACTCTCCAGAGAGGTAGAAAAGGACTCTGTGAAGGTGCGGGCGTCACACAGACACAGAACGAAGAAATCTGTTTGGTTAGAACTGTCCTTTCTGGCATCGTTGTTGATGCTGGGGCACATTCACAAGAACTTTATTATTTTTTAACTTGGAATAAATTTAACAGCGATTTGGCAAGAGTCAAAAACAGGACATGAAACTCATGAGATAAAATTTTTTCTTTTCCCTAGATACTTACCCAGGGGCAAAAGCCAGGGGAAAAAAAGAGAAAGTAAGAAGAGATAAACTTAATTTATCTTAAAGACGTTAACTACATAGGAAAAAACTCTAAACGCAAAAGTCAAATTCTAAAATCCCAGTTTTCTAGAAGCATCCAGAACAGTGGTTCTCAACTTTCCTGTTGCCGCGACCCTTTAATACAGCTCCTAATGTTGTGGTGACCCCCAACCATAAAATTATTTTCGTTGCTACTTCATAACTGTAATGTTGCTACTGTTATGAATTGTAATGTAAATATCTGATATGCAGGATGTATTTTCATTGTTACAAATTAAACATGATTAAAACATAGTGATTAATC